ATACACAAAAGTACGTTAAAGGGTATTAATCAGAAAATCACATTTCCCTCGAACTGAGTTCTGAGTCATGCCAGGTTTATATAGTTTCAAAATCAAGTAGCCACATTTTTTTTTTTTTGCCTCATTAGACATTGAGAAAAACATGGGAAAAATTTGGCACATAGCACCATCATTTACTGAATAGTGACAAAGGTCCTCCTGTGTGGATCAAAACAATTCCACAATGCGGAGGGACACCCAAGACTAGAGTATATATTTCCAGGTAATTCCCAGGTTTGCAAAAAAGAAAGAAACAGAAAAAACAAACACAGGGTTAATTCCCATTAAGGCACCAGCACTTTCTTCATGTATGCAGATGTTGCCCCCAAATGTAGGAACTAGTCAAAAGGGAGTGAGGAGGGAAATGTGCAAGTGGGAGTGTGGGCAGGCGGGATGTGCAGTGCGGCAGAGCAACAAGGGAGAACGTGGGGAGTGTGTGGTTTTCCCTCCTCCGTGAGTCCTCGTGGGGAACGTGTGGTTTTCCCTCCTCCGCGAGTCCTCGTGGGTCCTCCTGGGCTGAGTGTGATTTTCCCTCCTCCATGAGTCCTCATGGGTACTCATCTAATCTAACCCTGCAAACCTAAATAGAGTCACACCCTTCTAAGCCCACTAATTTCAATGGACTTAGACGGAAGTAACTCTGCTTAGGCCGGCACTCCATTTTGAACCTACAAAATGGCAGAAATTGGGCTTTTTCATTATATCTTTTTTTTTGTTCCACCTTCTGAAGCGCTTTCCAAATGACCAAATGTCTCATTGGAGATCCTCATGGCTCCCATGCCACACTGCACAACAGGCGATTGCATGCAGCCCAAAGAAGCAGCCCAAAGCAAACATCTGGATCTAGCTCTGTGTTCCGGTTAACAGCTCCTGGTCACTCATTTGCTGATACCCGGCCCCAACAACCCTCTGCTGCTTTAGCTCAGCATCTGTGTTGCGACCCGACTCTTACCAAGATGGAGCTGCCATGGGACCGCACCGTGGCGCCAAACCATTGCCGAGATTTGAACTCCATTTGTTGCAACGTTCCGTTGACCTCTTCAGTACGGGATCCTGTGTGGCAGAGAATGCACGTAGGTCTAGGTCAGCATTTCCCAAAGTTTTCTGTTCTTTTTTTAAGCCCTAGGCATGCCCCTCCCCCCCAGATTAAAACTGGAAGCATGCTACACTCAAAAAGACCCATGTATATTTTCTCCACTGGCTCCCCAGAGCAATTGACCGGCAATGCTCTTTGCAGTTGTGAGCAGCTCAACTAATACTGCCCCCATAGTCCCCAAAAGACTATAAATTGAAGGCAGCAGGAAAAGAGGAAGACCCAACACGAGATGGATAGACTCAATCAAGGAAGCCACAGCCCTCGGTTTGCAAGACCTGAGCAAAGCTGTTAATCGTCGAACATTCTGGAGGTCATTAATTCATAGGGCTAGACGTGACTGACTTGCTGGCCTTTAATGCACACCAGCATCTTGGCCCAGTTCTTTCGGGCCACCCCTGTGATACTTCTAAGACTCTCCCATGTCAATCAGCTGTAGTCTACATTGTACCAAGGAGTCCAAGGGTATCCTTGCTTCCTTCACACAGGATGCCTACTGTCTGTATACTGACAGAGAATGGATCTGGGGCAGGGATTGGACCCTTGTAAATCAAAAGCTTCCATCCTGCCCCCGAACTATTGCTAGATGCTGCACGGGGCCTCCCCACTCTGATGTGCCTATATGCATCCCACACGGTGGCTTTATTTTTAAAGAGGCACATTCTAGCTCTTCTCCCTGCACACTAGTGTGCTACGGCTCATAACCTTTCCTTTCATTTATTGGCTTCATTGACCAGTGGGTCTTAAGCCAAATGTACAAATACGGTCCCGTTCACACGAGGGAATTTGGGCTGGGAGCAGGACGGTTCGGGGGCGGGTCAAACGGCCGCGATCACACCACAACATCTGGGAAGCGTAGTGCTTCCGTCCCCGAACTGGCCCATCCATGCAATAAGGCGCATCAAGTTGGAACCACCTACCGAGGTGGTTCATCTCCATGGTGCACCTCAAACCGGGAGTCTGATCGCCGGCGCGTCCTTGCGCCGGCGCGTCCCGGGCTCTTAGCCAAACTGCGCATGCTCCGACATGCGCAGTTTGGCTAGCCTGCCGTCAGCTCTGTGTTTTCTCCCCGGCGTCTGATCATGCCGGGGAAAAAAGGCGGCGTGGCCAGGGGATCCGTGGGATCCCGCCGCGCTGTTTCAACTTTGGCGCGGCTTTTAAAAGCCACACTTTTTGCCAGCTTTTCCCCTGCCGTGTGGCAGGGGCCTACGGCACCTAACCAGGGGTGGTGAAGCAACTGAGCTTGATCGCTAGGGGCAGAGTATGTGAACCGCAGGAAGCTTTCTCGCCAAAGACCCTTCCTCAAGCATTGGGGAGGGGGGGCTTGAGATCTGCCACATCAGTTCAGATGGAAAACTAAGTCAGGGAGCAAGCAAGAACCAGCCTCTTCTCCATACAAATGTAGTTAATTCATAGGAGTCTGGTACGTATGCATCAACCTCATAGCACATGGCTTTCATGCACTCCCATGGCTGCCTGACTCCAGACCAAGTTTCTCCATTTTTTAAAAAAAATGTGAGTATTGTGTGCATGTGTGAGCCTGGAAGTCATGGCTGACCTCTGGTTCCTAGTGGGGCTTGGATGTTTCAGAGAAGTGGCTTGCTATTGCCTGCCTCTGCATCCCAGCCCTGGGATTCCTTGGAGGTCTCCCATCTAAGTACTTGCCAGTGTCAGCCCTGCTTAGCTTCCGAGAAGTTTCTCCAGTGTTTTTAACTCCCTTCTTGCATCCTCCTCTCTCTGAGCAGAGGTCCATCAGTGGCTATTAGCCACAAGGTATAGATAGGGACTCTGGGGCAAGTGATGCTCTGTCTTCTTGGTGCTTGGGGGGGGGTCAACAGTGGGAGGGCTTCTAATGTCCTGGCCCCACTGGTGGACCTCCTGATGCCACCTGGTATTTCTGGCCACTGTGTGATACAGAGTGTTGGACTGGATGGGCCTTTGGCCTGATCCAACATTGGCGTCTCTTATGTTCTTATTTTGCTTTGCTTTGCCTAGGCCACTCATTTCCAGACGGTGTGCCTGCCAGGTCATACTAGTGAGCCACAAGGAAACCGCTGGAGTGCTACAAGGAATGTATGAATTAAATAACTACAAGGAGGCTGTCTGTTGTACAGAAGTAAAGGCCCTGAAAACAAGCAAGCAAGCAAAAGGAATCCCCTCTCTGTCCCCCACCCCCCAGGAGCAATGTTCCCTTCTAAGCTGTGGAGTCTTGTGAGCAAAAATTCTACTTTGTGAGCTACTGGCATTAAAGTTGTGAGCGAGCGATTTGGCTACTGCATAAATTAGTTTGTTCTGGAGCCATCCTTCCTGAGCAAAGACAAAAATGTGTGAGACGGAGGCTAAAAAATTGTAAACTAGCTCACACTAACTCAGCTTAGAGGGAACACTGCCCAGGAGTTGTTTTCAGTTTTTCTGTTGGGAAATTTTGAGGACCACTAAGGAAAAAAACCTCCTACGAAATAGCCCTTTTCTTTGAAATAAGTTAAATATTTTTTAAGATAAGGTTTTACTTATCCAAATTGTATACTATAGGCACTTCCCCCCCACCCAGTTTTTCCAACAGCAATTTTAAGGAACACTGGGAAAGAGCTATGATTTTTCTTCTTTTGAAATGAGTGAAATACTTTTAAGATATGGGTTTACTAGCTCAAAATGGATAAGCATAAAAAAAATCCCTGAGAACTCCTCTCAGTTTTATCCATCTGAAAAAGTAGGAAATTTGGAGGAGCACTTGAAAAAAACATCTCCCCCCCTTTTTGGAATGACTGAAATTTGCTAAGATACCACAGGATACAGAAGTCTGCCACTCTTTCTCTCTTTAGTATAGTTGCAACTTTGCTTGTAGAAAACCAAGGCATTCATACTTCTCAATCCCATAACTATGCCAATAAACATAATTTTACGTGCTAAGTTATAAATAATACATTTTATTATGTTTATGTCATGACTGGTATTTCCCGTTTTTCCAAAAAGTCTGGATTTTTTTCCCCCAGGAAAACCTCCCTGAAACCCCCTCTCCATGTTTTCAAAATTTCTGGAAATTTTATATCTGGTCTGTTGCATCTCTGCATGATTTATTGCCCTAACTTTACCTCTGGGGGGGGAGGGAGCAAGTAAACCTATTACAGCTTTGCATCTGGTACAATACTGAACCAACCCTTCACTCCCAAAGCAGAGAGGCAACAATATTGTCACCTGCTGAAGGAGGCTGCCCACTAAATATCTGCATGATTCTCTGCTCTGGCATTGCCTCCCTCCAGACCTGGAGGCAGATCCAGATCAGTGGCATGTGCTGCTAGGCTCTTGTGCCACAGGGTAAAATCTACACACTCTGAAACTAAGTTATTTGTCGTACAAGTATGCCTACTGTTTTAATTCAGAAAAAAGGGTGTGAATCAGGTATCAGAAGTCTGTGAAACCCAAGGCAACACTCAGGGCTATAAGCTTGTCATTTTCCTAGTAACTGTTGCCTTTGGGCTCAATCCAGACCAGAAGAGACATCTCCAGTACGCTGGCCCTGATCCAAACAAAGCCACTAGATTTCCTGCTTCTAAATACCAAAGCAACAGTCCAACGAGATACAGACAGACAGTCACTTTAGGAACTTGTGAGAACTTTAGTAAACCATCAGGCATTGACCTCTAGATGGCTACTCTAAATCAGGGTAAACCACGCAAGGCCCATAGACTAACTGTGGCTCACCCAAAGCCTCTCTCTCTCTATCTTTTTAAACTACTGGCATTTCCAAAATACTGCTTAGCCCCACACATTTTTTCCTTCCTTAATTTACCTCAGAGCCTGAACAAAAAAAAAAAAAATCAATACTCTTTGCCCATCGCAATTTCAAAAATCCCACAGCACTGCTGGGAACCAAAACTCAAGGAATGCCATCCCCTGTTTATTCAGAGAGAAAGTATTTCATAACACAGCCCTGTTTTCGTTTTCTCCCCTCCCAAGATTTCCAACGCTTCTCGCACAAAGTGACTCAGGGCAAGGAAAAACCCTCTTGTCAATCAAAATTTCCACTCACCCCCCCCCCCAACTATTACTTGATCCAAAGTGTATGGCGCCGGAGGGGACCATGAAAACACTAAAACTGGACCACCCACGGACAAAATAGGAGATCTCTGCATTCTCAAAAGACTTCAGGGGCGTGAAGAAAAATATGACTTTGTAAATTAACCAGAAGAGAAAAACCTGGTCTCATTGGAGTAAATATGCTCCGAGGAGGAGGAAACTGTGTGAGAGCATGAGGGAGTCAATTAAAGGAAGTAGAAGGGCAAGAGGAAAGATAAGCCTGCCTTGACAGTTTATAGGAACATGGAATGTAAGGTTTTATGGGTGAGATGGGATTAGGGTTGCCAACGTCCGGGTGGGGCCTGTAGATCTCCCAGAATTACACCTGGATTTCCAGATGACAGAACTCAGTTCCCCTGGGGAAAAGGGGTGCTTTGGAAGGTGCGCGCCACGGCATAATACCCTGCTAAGGTCCTTCCCTTCCTCAAACCTTGCCTGCCCTAGGCTCCTCCTACAAATCTCCAGGAATTTTCCAACCCAGGGCTGGCACCCCTATGTGGGATTGGTTGCAGGCCTCCGCTTAACACTTCCATTCCATTGGTTTTTGTAATGTATTCAGAAGCTGCCATGAATGCATTAGATGTAATGTGAAACATCTCATTAGGAAGCTATGTTAAGCTTCGTCTTGGACAGGGATTCAAGTCCAAGACTAATGTGTCCAATCACGATAAAGCAAACCGGGAGCGGGAACGAAAGTGATTGGCTCTTATACGCTCAACCGCATTGGTTATTATCTGTATAGTAGGTGTGGCTATATTAGCCAGGAAATGTTTAAATACCGAGCAGCTACTATGGACAAGCTGTTCGGGCTATCAGATGTTGTACCGTGTTGGAGAAGTGTTCATGTTGAAGATTAAACTTGAGTTTTTGCTGAAATCACTCT